GTACCAATTAAGTTACATTATCTGATTCCATTCCGATGACGTGTGTGTAAAAACTACGACGTACACATACGTCACGGGAAAGGGTTAAATTGGATAGAGGAGAAACTGGCCGATTGGTACTAATTACGACGGGAGATTGAGCCACGGGACGTTGAAGTGGGCCACAAGTTTGTGTGTAATCCCGCAACAACAACAAAAAACCCACATACACAAATTCACTGAAGAATCGTGTTGCGTGTTCCCCGGGGGAAAGCGTGATTTTACTTCGATGCGAAAGGGCAAGAGTTTTAATCAGACATTTTGCGATGATTCGTTTATTTTTTAACGTGTTTGTGATGCATTTCCTTGGGAAGCAATTAGGCGTTTTGACCCCGAGTTTACCCGTGCAGTCACGGCCTGACACAAACAAACACCAAATGCTGCCCTTCGTAATCAAAATCCAATTTAATTTCACCCCAATCCGCAAAATTACTCATTGCCTACAAACGCATTTTACGTAAACTGTCTTGATGACATTAACCGTGACACTTTAAGCGTCCCATTAGAGCGCTGGCGGCTGATTGGCTCGGACATTTTTGCAAAGATGTGAGGTGGCTGAGTGTCTCATCGGAGACACGTTAATGGCTGTGTCAGAGACTCTAAGCCGGCGCAGATGAGATTCCGAGTTCACGCCCTGAGTCTGCGCATCTCTCTCTCAGAGGGCTCATTAACAGCTTTTTCAGAGGTAATACATGAATTTTAAAACATCTCATGATTCATTTTACATACAATAGCCTCATTAATGTAAATTGCATCTCTCACAAGACAGGGCTGACAGCCACGGAACCGGCAACAACAATGCCTCTTCAGTTTTCTACATAGTAAAATATTTCGGCCAATTCATGTGTTTATACACGTGGAAGGAAAACGGAGCACCCGGAGAAAACTCACGAATGCGAGGGGGCAACACTCTATCCCAGCGGTGGCCAACCGGCGTGTCCCGAGCCGCATATGTCTCTTTAAACAACCACATGCGGCTCTATCGAAGGGGCGTAACGTAGAATTCACTATCACAGTCGTAGCAAACAATCGTGAGTGGTTCCCGTGCTGTGCCAAAAACTGTTAATATATACACATTTATATATATATATTCAAACACCTGGCTCTTTGCAGAACTCCTGGGTACTGTTTGGCTCTTGGTCTATTAGAGGTTGGCCACCCCTGCTCCATCCCATAGAGGAGGGACCGGTGACATCAGTCCACACTTTGCCGTGCCGCATTCTGCTGGCAAGCAACGGTCTGGCACCTCGATACCCACGGGGAGAGAGTCTCGCAACATTTGGTCACTCGTTGTGCGGATAGCCCACCAACCCTCGCTGCTGCCTCCACAGTGCTGGATTTCAGGCCACGGGCATAGCCACCACCGCCCAGTGCTGAGCCAGCGATGCCGAGAAATAAGTTGTAGCCCTGGGTCTGTTTGGTTGTCTCAAGGGGGCTCATTCATGGCTGTCAGACTTTTAAATGACACCGCTGCGATCCTGGGTTCAAGGCCTGGATCTGAGTCTCCCACCCGGGGAGCTCACAATGGCTACGCCAAGGACAGAGTTTAGATCGCCTCGATCCTGGGGTCAAATCGCGGCTTTAGCCTTCCGCTGTTACTCGTAGCCAGGTGGCTCAGCGGGAGAGCGAACGACTCACAATTGTAAGGTTGTGAGCTGAAATTCTAGTTGGGGGTGAGAGGAGGGGTCGCGACACCCCAAGTGACCCGAGGTCACCTCCTGCTCAGAGAATATCTCAACTGGTCCTGGGCCTTGCCTAGATCGACTCGGCACCTGGTGGGGTGTGCGTAAACATCCACACTGGGGGAGACAAAGGCGGCCCGGGCACGGTGACTGGCCAACACCCACCCCCTCGTGTGCTGTGCCAGCCTTCACAGCTGCTCGCTGGAAGCACTCGTCCCAACAGCCTCTGTCGGCTATACGGGGGGTGCAGATCGTTGTCTTTGTCTTATACACACAAGATGTATGTATGTATGCGCGTGGTTCGTATATAACTAAATATGCACGCTGCCCTTTCAATTCGGGCGTTTGACCTCGTGTCTCGTGCAGGCCGTCCCTGTGAATGAGCTGTCACGCGCCAGCGGTGTGCGCTGATTTAGCTCGAGGTGCACACGCTGTGTTTGTACACAAATTGTGTTTGTACACAAGTTGTGTTTGTACACAAATTGTGTTTGTACACAAATTGTGTTTGTACGCAAATTGTGTTTGTACACACGTGTTTGTACACACGCTGTGTTTGTACGCAAATTGTGTTTGTACACAAATTGTGTTTGTACACAAATTGTGTTTGTACGCACGCTGTGTTTGTACGCACGCTGTGTTTATACACAAGTTGTGTTTGTACACACGCTGTGTTTGTACACAAGTTGTGTTTGTACACACGCTGTGTTTGTACACAAATTGTGTTTGTACGCATGCTGTGTTTGTATGCACGCTGTGTTTGTACACACGCTGTGTTTGTACGCACGCTGTGTTTGTACACAAGTTGTGTTTGTACACAAATTGTGTTTGTACACACGCTGTGTTTGTACACACGCTGTGTTTGTACGCAAGTTGTGTTTGTACGCGCGTTGTGTTTGTACGCGCGTTGTGTTTGTACACGCGTTGTGTTTGTACACAAATTGTGTTTGTACGCAAATTGTGTTTGTACGCAAATTGTGTTTGTACACAAGTTGTGTTTGTACACAAATTGTGTTAGTACGCAAATTGTGTTTGTACACAAGTTGTGTTTGTACACAAAATGTGTTTGTACGCACGCTGTGTTTGTACACAAGTTGTGTTTGTACACACGCTGTGTTTGTACACAAGTTGTGTTTGTACACACGCTGTGTTTATACACACGTTGTGTTTGTACACAAATTGTGTTTGTACGCATGCTGTGTTTGTATGCACGCTGTGTTTGTACACACGCTGTGTTTGTACGCACGCTGTGTTTCTACACAAGTTGTGTTTGTACACAAATTGTGTTTGTACACACGCTGTGTTTGTACACATTGTGTTTGTACACACGCTGTGTTTGTACACAAGTTGTGTTTGTACGCAAGTTGTGTTTGTACACGCGTTGTGTTTGTACACACGTTGTGTTTGTACACAAATTGTGTTTGTACACAAGCTGTGTTTGTACACACGCTGTGTTTGTACACACGTTGTGTTTGTACACACACGCCTTTAGTTTTTCTCACCCCCCCCGCCCCCCATGATGTCTGCCCAGCGTGGAAGAGTAGGCCAAAGTTCCCTCCTACGGGGAGGTGCTCTCTACAGCTCCTGCTTGCGGAGGCCCCTTACCGCCAGCAGCGTCGTATGCAAGAAATTGCATGGGTGCACCTTTGTTCCGTACATCGTTTAACATTGCACTGCTGGTGTACAAAACTAACGGAGACGCATCTGAAAGTGTACGACGCAGTGACCACCTTTATTCGATGGCCAGGCAAATGCCGCTGCGAGGATGACCGGAGTTTGTCATGATAGTTCATGATCTTTGACGAGAGCGGTGTGAGATGCAGTTTTGCAGGAACGGCGCGATCTAAAAATTCAACATTATTATTATTATTATCGTAATTATTATAACCAAAAGTGTTTGCAAGCAGGAGGTGTGAAAATGCGAGCCTCCCGTCAACACCTCCGCGTGCGAGTGACTTGAGTGTGCCTGGCACAGGACACTCTGCCCAACAACACCCTTCAGTCCCTGCTGGTGCGTCCCGACTCTTTTCAGCCGGCCTCAAAAGCAGCTGCAACCCTCCGCCGTGGATCACAACCCAACGCGAGCGGCTTTGGCCGCTGACTGTGGCCTTTCTGGAGCAAGGGGCGCTTTTGTCTCGAGGCACATCGTCGAGTGGCGTGTGCTTGGCGTGTGCTTGGCGTGTGCTTGGCGTGTGCTTAGCGTGTGCTTAGCGCGGTCTCCGGCATCGCCAGCTCTCCCGTTTATTAAAAACCGGAGCAGAGAAGGGGGGGGGGGGCACGGGGTGGGGGGAGAACAAACAGCCTCGTAGGGTTTTAAGTCCAGTTCCCAGCTCAGTGAGCGATCCACTGCAGCCCCGCTACACCCAGGTTCCAGGCACGTATGTAGTAAATGTAGAGATCTATTGTGCCTACATGAAGACAAAGGTCCCCCGTGTCGCCTACACCGACTCTTGGGGAACGTGCCGTAAGTGAGCATCTTGTTCACCTCCGATTGGCACGTTTGGCTACGTACGGTGCGATAGAAGTTCAACGTACATACAAGGCCGGAACGGCGCATGAGAGGGTGATGTGACCAGCAACCACGCCCCGCCGCCTTTGTCTCCCCAGTGCTGATGTTTACACTCTGCACCAGTGGCTGTGACTCGGAATCTGACTCAGTTTTCCGGGTTCATACCACAGTGCGCAAACCCATTAACTCCTGCTCCCCGCTGTACTCACACACACAGGGTAAATGTTCTGGTTGAGGCTATCGACTCATCCCACTTGAGAAACTGTAGAATCAGGTTTGACTGAAAACCATCTTCAAGCGTGTCGGTCTTCTCCACTCGTTGCGCTGAGCCACTTGGTCACCTCTGGCTCACAAACTGGCTTAGACCTCTATGTGAACCCCACGGCTCCAACGCTGGCGCCACGGTGCCGAGATGTTAACTGCCTCGCCTGGTATGCAGGAAGTCGTGGGCTCTATCCTGACCGTGATGCCTGCTGTATATTTGGAGTTTGAATGTTCTACCCCCTGGTCGTATGGATTTTTCTCCGGGTCCCCCGGTTTATCGCTCCGCATTTAGAATCGACATCACGCGTTTAGAGTATTTGGCTGCTGTACATGTCCGCGTGATGAGCCAACTTCGTTGAGCTATCATTTGTGGCCAGGTCGCTTCTGAAAAAGAGTTGCATAGCTCAGTGGGGCCTTACCTGGTAAAATAAAACATAGTTCAGTTTGGTTAAATATTCGTGATGATCCTGGTGGTGACCAACTATCTACTGCGTGATTGTCGTTTTCAGGTGACCACAGACTTCCTGCGCAACGGGGACTATGCCATCGAGAGGATGGGCGTCAAATACCCGGCCAAGTTGCACCTCAAGTCCCCCTTCGACCCCGAAAACAAGCGCGTGCGCGGGAATTACGAGTGACGCGCGCCGCTCACACCACGCCCGCCACTGCCACCAGCAGTCGCTCATCTCGAAGCGTCGCCCGTGACGTACGGCCTACACAAAGCGCGATCGCTAAGGCCTGCGGCGATTTACCCCCTCGGCCCCGCCCGCACGGCCAGACAAATTGTCGCAATTCACGTTTGCAATTCTATTCGAGAATCAATGGTTTTCCATCTCAATCTTAGCGAGTCGTTCGTATTTTACGTCTCGTGCCTTCAGCCTGTGCTGTCTGCCTCGTTTGCTCCGTTCAATCTCATCGTAGCCCTTTCTTCACTAAATCCCAGCTCCGAGAATGTTGAATATCGGTTTTCACCGTCGTGCGATGAACATCACTCTCATATGCAGAGCGAGTGGGAAAATGGTGCCCTCTGCTATGTGTAGACCAGTGGTTGGTTCAAGGGGTTGCAGGTTGCTCTGTAGTGTCTGTGGGCTGTTCTCCAACACCAAGGGTTCACCACACTGCCCTGCGAGAGATCTGAAAGGATGCCTCGTAAGAGTCTGGATAAAGTTGAAGGATATGGCAAGAAAACAACATTAGCGTTATAACTAGCACGAATCGTAAGTAGTTGGTTCACACGCGTATGAAAAAACGAGAACAGACTCACATTGACGAGTCGATGAATCTTTACTGCAAAGCAGGCTGGATATTTGCAAATATGGAGAACGGTGAGCTGTGAGCTGTTAGTCAGTGGGCCAGAGCAGCGGAAATGTGTACCACATAGGCCATAATGATCAATAATAAAGGTTTTTAGGTTAGATGGCATAAATATAAATGTGCCGTTAACCCACTACCACCCGACACAGGCAATTAGTAAGGGTTGTCACGTAAACAGAACGTGGCCAATTCGTCACTAGTATAGCACACCGGTGTGTTGTAGAGCCAAGCCACAACATTTACAATCTGAGTACGACGTTTCGCCAGTAATTACAACTATGTTCATCAGGCGACAGCCAGATTTCCAGTGGCTATCAAACAAGTCACCGTTGTTGGCCACATTAACAAATGGGGACCACGAAAGTCATCCCACCTCGGGTGGCAGCGACATGCGAGAGACGTCTGATCTCGACTCGCGGACTGCGCGAGATGGCGTGTCGTGTGATTCATTATCTGGTGAAGAGAACCGCCAAAGCGAATGGCGATGTAGGAGGTTAACAGTGCCGTCCGGTGATGCCCGTCTCGCACGCTCGAGTTTGAGCGTTGGTGCGGAACGTTTAGGAACGGGCAAGAGTCGGTCAGACTGTGACGAGGATGCGAGAGCGGACGTCCTGACGTGACTGCGCAAATAACTCTACGCTCCTGGCGATGAAGACGTTATGACGGCGACGAGACAAAGTGAGTGCGGTGTGGCGGGTGGAGTCCTTGAGACCGACGGGGGAAGTTTCCTTCAATTCGCTCTCATTTAAGATATTCTACGAGGAAAAGTGTGGAGTTTGCCTTGAAACCACCCTGGTAATAAAATGGCGCTTTTCGTGATTGTCGTCGGGTTCTGCTTCCCGCGCCGTACTTCCATCATCGTGGAATCCACCCGATTGTGCGAATCGTAAATAAATCCTGCGCTTGTTGTCAGCCGGTAATGTCTCACTGCTGGGACAAGGCCTCACATTCCTTCCTTACCCCAGTTGCTTCTGTCCAGGGCGCCACGATGGCTAGGAGATGTTAGTTCCCTTGCCTGGTGTACAGGAGGCCGTGGGCTCGATCCCGACCCTGACGCCTGCTTTATATTTGGAGTTTGCGTGTTTCTCTCTCGCCATGGTCGCGTGGATTTTTCTCCGGGTCCTCCGGTTTTTCCTTCCACATTTAAAGTATTTGGCTGCAATAAATTTCCACGTATGAATTCACTTTATTGAGCTATCATTTGTGGCCAGGTCCGCTTCTGAAAAAGAGCTACATAGCTCAGTGGGGCTTACCTTGTAAAATAATAAAAATAGTTGACTTTTTAGCGGCCTCCCAACTCTACGGTACTGTCTCGTTGCTACGGTCTCTTCTGCGGTCTCTCTCGGCTACGCTTGCCCTTCTCACGCGGGCTCCGCTCGTTCGTTAATTTCGTTTTTCATCTCTTGTCGAGTTCTTCTCGTGCCGTAATTCTGCCCCATCTCCACTTGACTTCTTCAGGTTTAATTCTCAGCAACATTGACTTACTCCTAACGTACTCATTTCCGTAGGTCATTGGCTTCTTTTATGTGTGTATCGTGAACGTGTGATTACACAAAATATATATGTTAATTATTGCACCCTCGTCCGTGTTTGTTAATGTGGTTGAAATTGGCCTTTCGGGATGATTTCAATACGGCAATTAACCACTGCGAGTGGAGTGCTAGGCGTAAGCTCCCGACGGGTATTGAATGAATTTCATTGATTCATCTGTAAGGGATTTATTGAACTTCTGCCATTTGTGGGCTGAGGCAAAGCTCCCTTAAAAAGCCACCAAAGGGCATTCCTTCTTCCACCACTGTGGAATAGTGACATTGATTATATCATTCAAGCTTTAGTGACAATTGTGCTACAGCAGGCACAGCCTCGCCGTCGTATCATCAACCGGCCCTGGAAGTTGACGCCACAGAACTACCTCCGAGTCCCTTCAAGTCCCTTTCTCACCCAACACTAGAGGGCGCTCCTTCGCGTTCTGTCAGTCGCTCAAAACATTGAGAAATATTCGATTTGTCATCATCATAGCTACCTGCCATGATCTATCCTCTGCTAGATTAAGGCCTCCCCAAACTGTTGCCATTCCTCGCAGTCGTCCTTTGATGCAACAATCCATCGATCTCGCACCTGCACCCGAGGCCAAATGCACAAAATAAAAACAACTTTTTAAACCTTTTTTATGCTTCCCAATTAAGGTGGAAAGTGGACATGCATTCGCTCCGATTCATGATTGATTTTCGGATTAGGCCACGCAAATGATCTTGACCAAATGTGTGCCACCAAGGACCTCCATCACCCGACGTGGCCAAAACAAATTAAATTGCCGCACGGCGTCCAAGTGCTTCGCGACGAGCCAACTGTTCCTGTGTCAGATCGCCACCGGCACGGAAGAACACGTTGAATTAAATACTTCATCGCTCGATTTGCTTGTGAGAATTGTTGTTGGGTAATTAAGTAATTGTCATTTTATTTATTATAATTATCGCTCTGGACGAGGGATTCGTTACGAACGTTGGGCGTACGGCCGATGTGAAATCCGACAGAACGGTGCCGCGGGTTTGCTTCTTGCATGTTCAGCGGGAATCCATGCTCCACATTCTGCCCCCCCCCTCCGACCCCCCATGCCGTGGGGTACATCACGTCCCAACGTCACGGAAATGACTCCCACCGCCCCTCTACCCTACCGATCCCACTGACTTCCCCTGCCCTTCCTCTCAAGAAAGTGACACAGAGCTAACAGAAGCCCTCTCGGGGTCACGACGGCTGATCCCCCGCCCCCGTGGCGTCTTCGGTGTTCGTGGCTTGAACATCGCCGACCCGCACCATCGGAGCAGCCGGGAACGCGATTATTTGTTTGTCGATTTCCAAGTGCGTGCGCTTATTAATTAGATTATGCGGCTTAGAGGGCGAATGCTGCTGCGTTTGCATTGACTCCTCTAGCGGCCTTGGCCCTCGTGAGAGTTTCCATTAATTGCCTTTTTAGTTATGAGTTTGGAGCACGAATTTATATACATGTGAGTAATAATGCCTTCATTAATCACTCAATGAAGGCTGAGTGCCAAGCCCCGTTTATAAAAGGGGCCCGCTTGGAGTATGTAGATACACCCTTTGAGATTCATCATTATTTGGGTCAGTCCCACGTAGCAATCTGACATGAATGCGTGTCGTCAAGACCGCCCGCCACCCGACGCTGCCACACAAATCACTGTTCACGTCCCGCTTGAAACGCCGTCCCGCGTAGCAGAGTTCGCTCGTGGCGGTCCTTCTCGAGCTTCACCGGCGAGCTGAAACGATCGCGGAATTGGCGCGCTCCAAGGCAGGATAGCCGCGGTGGCCGTGCACAGCGCCCCTCGCCCTGGCCATCTGGGTTCCATTCCTGGTCACCACCGGTGGCGACCTGTCCTCGTCCTCCCTTAGGTCGACTCGGCCTTAAACTAGTAGTCCGTGTTCCCTACAGCCGTGAGAACCACAACTGGCTGGGATTGTGTGGCGTGGCGCACACTCCTCCCCCCCCCCCCCCTCCGCATTGCTGCACCAGCCTTAATAGGCGCTCGCTAGAAGAATTTGTCATCCCCGTGTGTTCCGTAAGAGTCGGCCGCGTCTCGTTGGCAATGTGTTTGCACATCCGTTGCCTTGCGTGCGCGTGTGGTGTGTGTGGAGCTGTGCGTTCACTGGCGCAGGAGAAACTTGGTCCTGTGCCGAAACCCAGGCGCGTCGCGTCAGACCCAGCCACGTGTTTCTGCAGATGAGAACATCTCGCACCGTCTGTCCAGATAATGATAACCCCACCGCGCTCACCGGGTAAGCGGACATGAGGAGCTGAGGTCAGCGCTGCCCCCTGATATGGTTTTGGGTATGAAAAAAAATGCTTCGGTATGCAGAAAGATTCGCCTCTGGATTCTGCCTTCAGTGGCTCTGGTGTCTCTGCTCTGCTTGAATGTATTGAAATCTGGCTGGAAGATCAGAAAATAAATTATCCTTCAAATAACACCAGCTGCTTGGAAATATGTTTTGCCTAAATTGCAAAATATTTCCCGACACTGATATAAATGCGTATGTGTCTGTGTATGTATGTTTTGAGCGGTAGTGTAGCGGTTAGCACGCTGTGCTACGAACCCAGTGATCCTAGTTCGATTGCCGATCACGGCCAGCACCAGTGACGATTATCCGAACCGGTCCTGGGCCTCCCCTAGATCGACTCAGCCTAAAATGAGTACCTGATGCGATGTGGAAATATCGCCACTAGGGAGACAAAGGCGGCCGGGCGTGATATTGGCCACCCACCCCCTCGTATACCGTGCCAGCCTTCATAGGTGCTATTCGCTAACAGCACTTGCCCCAACAGTCTGTTAAGACTATAAGGGGGATCTTTGTCTTTAAAAATTTTGAGCATTAGTACAGTGGTTAGCATGCTGCGCTACAATGCCGAGCTCATGGCCAACATCGGTGACGAATATACGAACTGTTCCTGGAGCTTTCCCTCTGTCGACTCAACATTAAATGAGTGCCTGTTGGCATTGTGTGAGAATTAGCAAGGCTGCCGGGTGTGTTATTATCCACTCACTCTCGTGCCGTGCCGGCCTTCAATCGGTGCTCGCTAATAGCACTTGCCCCGACAGTGTTCAAGTCCACGTGGGGGATATTAATCTTTATTTGCAGGAGAGTCAGTGACAATCAGAATAATAATACTGAAATATGTATTTGATGTATGGAACTAAAACTGAGGACGTCCGCCGTGGAGATGGAGCGATGAGATCAGTTGCTGTGTACAGGTGCTCCATGGATTGCGGGATCATGAGAATTGGCAGCAGTTTTGGGAGGCCTTCATCCAGCAGTGGGTAGCTGCTGATGAATTAATTCACAGCCACATTGTCAATCCACTGCTGGATGAAGGACTCTTGTGCAGTATCATTCATGGGGTCCCTTGGCCTCAACTTCCCCAAGATGGTCAGGTTTGTGACCGCACGGTTCCGGGTTCAGATATTACTTGACACTGATGTGAGACTTGGACGGGAATCGAACTGATGGTGGTCGGATTCATAGCCCAGTGCGCGAACCACTGCGCCACACATCGCCGCACCAATAATAACGCCATTAGAATGTAATTTTTATACATTTGTAGTGTCAACGATTCAGAGACAGAGTTTCTCTCCACAGTAGCTCAGCCCAACCTGTACACAACACGAGTCGTCTAACACTGACGGCGCTGACTGAGATAACCAACTCCTCTCCTTCGTAGCGCAATATCTAGCGGGGACGTTTAGCGACGACGAGACGAGTCCACTCCCAGCACCGGCAGCCTCGAGCCCCCCGCTCTCGCTCCTTTTATGCTCCCAGCTTGGCCTGGCCCCGCCCTGACCGTGCCTCCCTTCTCGAACCCGCCAGCAGGTTCCAGGGGCCTCCAGACGGGGTCCTCCGTGACCCTTGCCCCAGTTCCCCCGCTCTGCCCACACCCCGTGCACGCCCGCACCGGCGTGTGCGCTGTCTGTCCACCACAGCTGCCACTGCTGTCCACCAGCCGGCACTTTTACACTAGAGATTTATTCCGTCATCTTCATATCCAGTGCTGAGAAAGGGGAACTTTTGAAAACGAATCTGGTGACTGAGGACTTTAGGTTTTGGAAGTAATGTAAAGTATCTACAAAATACTACTGATGAACAATCGATCAGCCACACGACCTTCTGGGAGTGCGTCATTTCAGCAGCATTCATTTAGTACAAGCAAAAGTCTGGACCGGTTCCGACGTAGTTTGTCTCATCAGCTGAGTCAGGCTCAATTGAATAAACGCTGGCCAACTGCCGATCTTACAGGCCACCCCATATTTGTTTTTTGTAATTTAACCTACTTGAATCGCCTGATTACTTTTATGATTGCTCATAAATAACCACACATGGTTAAGGTTAAACTCATAAACAGCAGTGCTGT